CCCTTCTTTGTCTCCCCTTTCTCTCTTCCTTCTTTTTTTGCTCCACCCACTCTCCACCTCAATATGTTTGTAAAAACATTAACAAAAGTAATTTATAACAAAAATGATTAAAAATAGTTTTTTTTCAAAATTATATTTATAATTTATATATACAGTATACAATGTATAATAAAATGTATAATAAATTTAAAATGTTCTGAATAAAAATATGGTTTAAAAAACGTAAATTATTTATTATTTATATTGTAACTATTACGTACAATAACTTAGCTAGAATCAAGGAAAAGATATATATTATTTTAAATTCAGTCATATTAATATCATCAGTCAAACATCTTCGATAAAAATTTAAATTTTATTAATCGTTACACATTGTTAATTAATGGAAATAGAGAAATTATATCGATTTTCTTAAGTCAATTATTAATGGAAGAGATTCGCATTAAATTTGCTATATTTAATCGTCAATTATATATTTTTTAATTGTTTCTGCTCAAATCAATTGTCAATTAAATTATCTTCGATTGAATCTGTTTTTTCAATTGTCAATTAAAGTACTTCTAATTAAAATTAACATATTAATCGTTAATTAAAAAACTTTTAATTAAATTAGCTTGTATTAATCGTTTAATCGATCGCTCTCCGATTAATTTTGTTTATATCAATTGTCAATTAAATAATCTTTAATTGACTTCGATCATATTAATTGTTAATTAAGCGATCTTCGATTAATCTAGCTTATATCAATCGTCATTGTAACAAAATCTAATTAATCTTTCTAAATTAATCGTCAATTAAAAATATTTTAATTAAATTTGTTCATATCATTTGTCCAATTTATATATATTGTATATATGTATTATATATATATATATATATATATATATATATATATTGTATATATATCCCTGTCTCTAAAGCCCCTTGCACAATGCCAGGCAATAACAGGCAATAGGAACAGGAAATAAAAGATATTCACCAATAAGAGCAGAAAGTAATATCTATTCTTTGCCCTTTATGGGAGAATATCTTTTATTCTTGTTTCTTCTGTCTGTTGCCTGACATTATGCAAGAAGCTTAATATTTAAGCTATCTAATATTAATGCTGATTTTCAGTGTTTCTTTCTTCTTTTTGCATCTTTTTCATCCGATATTGCATTTTATCACCTGCATGTTGCCACCAATTCCTTATGTTTTACAATCAATGCAATGGAACAATCAGGTGATTTTCTTTTGCATGAGTCACAGCCCCTGTGGATAATATATACATTTATATTAGTGAATAAATACATGTATACTCTATTTATATAATATTAGTATTTAAAAATTGTTAATAAGTTATAATTTTATGTGTCACATTATATACATACATCACAAAGAATATAAATAACAAAGTAATACAAATTAATAAAAATTGAAAACATATAAATAAAATCTATTAAAGTACACTTACCACTATGTTTGCAAACGTAGAATTTTTAAAATAGTAATCTGAATTTATTTGGAACAAATAATCCATTACATACTGTTCAAACTTGTATGATGCGAATAGAGAGAAGATATAAAAAAACTACTTGTGAAAGTGCAAGATCTTTTCTGTAGATTAAAATAAATAAGAAATTAAATAAATTACAATAACAAATTATCATTATTTCAAACAATTTAAACAGATAAAAAGAATTGAAATAAATGTAATAAATATCCCTTATAACAGCGATGTTAAGATATCATCCAGGATGAATAATAAAAGACATCTTTAAATGTGACAAACAGCAAATATTGGTTCAATGCAAGAAAACAATGCTACTCAGAGAATCATTTTTCCTAATAAAATTTTTAATATTATAATAAAACGTTATTAATAATAATAATATATAATTGTAATAACAAGAGTGCTGTTAAAGGCTGTGCACAATAGTAGGAGTAAGTAAAAGGGATAAATAGACAAAAAATTTTTCTATTCTGCGTTACTACATTACATATGTTTCATATTAAACTGTTTTTTCTTTTTCTTTTGTTTTCTGTTCCTTTTATTGTGTATGTATGCAGCCCCTTATAAGTAGTAAAAATAGTATGACCTGTTTTTGGATCAAATGGCAATTGTGCTAAATAATAACTCGAAGAAGTCCTCTCAATGTTCTTCGAAAAAGTCGAATATCTTAGTTCCCATCATTCTTATCACTGAAAGAAAATATTACAACTAGATAATCTCAAATTTGTAACAGAATAATGTAATTTAAAATAAATTATTTTAATAAATTATTTTCATTATGTATGTAATAAATATTACATGAATATATTATAAAAATATTTTTATAATTTTATGAAATATTCAATAAAAATTTGCACATTGTGAACACTCGCACAGTTTTACACATTACACCACTTTTACACATAATAACTCTTTGTCACTCATTCATACGCATCATGCGTGAATCGGAAAGCTATATAGATATCGTGTATGTTTTCTGCTAGTGAGAAATAAATAGAGGTTGGGTTGGGTTAGATGCGAACCTCTAGAGTCGAAAAATATATGGGTGCATCGTTTATGCAGCGATTAGCGCATCCACTGCGCATCCACTGCGTCTATTATCTGCGAGTCACGTGACATCATTTACCGAACGATCACCTGCGTGAATTGATTGCTCAGATTGTAATTGGAGTGCGTAAGTAAAGAAATTTTAAATAAATATGAATTAACTCAGAAATAAATATTTTTATCGGCTCTCAATATAAACAATATAAATATGATGGTTTCTAAATCGGCCTAAGACCCATAGCACGAAAAATTACGAAAATTAATTATTCGGAACTGTATCTCTTGGTACGAGATTACTAAAGTTCCATATATTAATTAACCTCGAACTTACATATGGAGAAATAGGCGCGAAAAAATAGGTCCGAAAAGTCGCTGAAGCGGGAATCGAACCCGCGTCTTTCACTTTCCGGGCGACTGCTCTTACCACTAATAGCTATTTAAACTTTTCGGACCTATATTTTTCGCGCCTATTTCTCCATATGTAAGTTCGAGGTTAATAATATATGGAACTTTAGTAATCTCGTACCAAGATATACAGTTCCGAATAATTAATTTTCGTAATTTTTCGTGCTATGGCTTAGGCCGATTTAGAAACCATCATATTTATATTGTTTATATTGAGAGCCGATAAAAAATATTTATTTCTGAGTTTATTCACGCCTGGCCTAATCACGGCGTTATTTACTAACATCTACTAAAAAGGCAAATGAAAAATATAGGATCGAAAAGTCTGAATAGCTTAGTGGTAAGAGCAGTCGCTCGGAAAGTGAAAGACGCGGGTTTGATTCCCGCTTCAGCGACTTTTCGGACCTATATTTTTCGCGCCTATTTCTCCATATGTAAGTTCAAGGTTAATTAATATATGGAACTTTAGTAATCTCGTACCAAGAGATACAGTTCCGAATAATTAATTTTCGTAATTTTCGTGCTATGGCTCTTAGGCCGATTTAGAAACCATCATATTTATATTAAATATGAATTATTATTTGAATAAATATAATAAAATTTTTAAATAGGTTGAAGGTTCTGACATATGACGTGTGCACATAACATTTTCAGACAGTGATGACGGTAGGATTGAAATGTTGCTGAATGTAGACTTCTCAGATTTTTCCAAACTAACTGGGGACGAAGTAGCTTGATAGTTAGGAATGACTGTAACAGAATTGCATCTTTATACAAAGCACATTTTTTTTAAACAGATTACTTTAAATTTATATTCTTGATAAAAGTGCATTTTTAAGTTAATTGGATCGTAAATATAAATTAACAGACTTCATAATTTTATTGTATTACTTACCTTGCATTACTTTTAGTTTTGTAGGATCTATTTGGAGGAGTTATTCTCCACCTTCTTTGTTCTGAACTTTCATAACATAACTCATAATTGAAATAATTTTCAAGCAACGTTTCCAAGTTCAATTGGCTTAACAATGGAGAAGACTACATTCGTTTACGCAGTAGTCCGCAGTACTGCGAGCAAAGCATCCTGAGCAGGACCTCCGAGATGGCTGCGCAGATAGGCAGCAGCTCTGCTTAAACGAACAACAAACTGCGCTGCAGTCGGTTGCGCAGGTGGAGTAAACGAACGACATCTGCGGCATTCTGCGGCAGTCACTGCATAAACGAATGCACCCTATAGCTTTATAATAGGAGTGTAACCCCGGTTGATTTAAATTATGTAATATATGTTACATATATAACACTTGCTTTAAAATTATAAATTATAAAAAAAATATATATATATTCATTTAAAAAATTTTAATGTTTGAGATATCTTTAAGATGTATAATAGATATCTTTTAAAAATTCTACAAAGACATCTTTATCAAAATCTTTTAGACATTTAAAAGATATCTAGAAGACATTTTTAGAAATGTCTATAGGTTTCTTTAATAAGACATCTTTAGACTTCTACAAGACTTCGATGTTATGTGGAATTTGAGATATCTTTAAAATGTATAATAGATATCTTTAGAAATTCTACAAAGACATCTTCATCAAAATCTTTTTAGACATCTAAAAGATATCTGGAAGACATCTTTTAGAATGTCTATAAGATTTCTTAATAAGACATCTTTTAGACGTCTACAAGACTTCGATGTTATGTAGGTACTGTAAGAATATTACAAGATATATCTTGCATAGCATAAGTGCCTGCGTGCGGATAGGCGCGCGCATCTGTAGATGCGCGCGCAGGTGTGAGATGCGCGCGCAGTGGCGCGACCTCGTGGTCGACGAGGAAGACGACGGCGCTAGCCGTGACGGGGCATTATTATCTAAAGTACGCGAAGGAGTGTGGTCGAGCGCACGACGTAGTGTATGGCATCGTCAAGCGCAACGACGTTCTATAATATACAAGACTTCTTACGAATATGATATTATTAGCAATCAAAGTTCAAAACATATGCAAACATATATAGAATTCGCACGACATCTTCACACGTCAAATTCGATGTTATAATATACACGAGTCACACGGTAGTCGGGACACAACATGGTCGATTTCTAGTTATGTGATCTTCGAGATACGCGTCGTATGCATCGCTTATAAAGTCACGGGAACATGGTATTTTGTATGTGCCATGGCGTGAATAAAGATTAGTCAGTTAAACGTGGGTGACAATTATTACAACCATCTCATGAGCAAGACCCCTTTGTTCGCCTCTCCCGCGGCTTTCCTGACACGCGAATTCAGGCATTCCAACAAAGAGTCCTCTCCTCAGAAAAACAAACATCCTCACAGTACATCCTGGAATTTAGTTTCTTTCAATACTGATTCACTATATTGGATCCGCAATCTTGAATTTTGCGATCCCGATATTAAACATTAATCTTAAAAACTATTTGATAAATGTTTAACCAGAACTTGGTTTGATTGAAAAATCATCCATGTCATTGATTTTAATTGTCTTCAGATCGATTAAATGACGCTATTTTCAATAGTTTTGATAGATTTTCAATCCTTTCCCCAGGTCTCTAGAAAAAAGACCATCATTTTTAGACGTCTACAAGACATCTTATATGGTTCATAGATACCCATGGAACTCAAATTTTAGGTTCTATCAATAGTCAGAAATCGACTTTTTTCAACATCCTCCTTTACTACCTCCGAATTTAACTAGTAAAATTAATTAATGAAAGGCTCGTATAAATTAACAAAATTTAAAAAAAGGTAAATATTGTAGGCCAACTAAACGAGCAATTAAATAAGATCTAAAGAATTATTAATAATTAAATAATTAAATTCTCATTCCGTTAGAGAAACAATATGCAGCGTAAACGTTTCGACTGCACTACAGTCTTTTTCAATACGTAAAAATCAAATATTAAAATACAAAGTTAAATATTAAAATACAAAGTAAAATATATTAAAATACAAAGTTGGTTAAACATTAAAATACAAAGTTAAACGATTCTTCGCTGATGACCAATAGATGAGTAAGCCGATTGGTCTGAGATTCCAAGTTTTGCGACATTTAATCATGCTGTGGATATTTTACGCGAATTAAATTATTAATATCAGATAAAATTAAAAAATCTTTCAACTTACATTATCGTTTTAACAAGTTCTTCTTCTCGACATTTCAAGTGTGTGTTGCGAAGTCTAAATAACAAATGCCAAGGTAGAAAGTGTGATGTATTTATTAATTACCAATGTTTTTTCTAAACTATGATTCAGCTAATTTTTTAAGTATGTCAAAATAACTACTGTCTAGCAATTTGGTGTCTCTGTTTAAATTAATTCCATTTTTCTGTTCTTTAATGTGAATCATTTCAGATATTAGCCTTTTATGGTAATTCTTTTCATGATCCATAATCTTAGTGTTATCCCAGTCAAATGTATGCTGTTCATTTAGAATGTGTTCCGTGACAACCGAATGTTTAGCAGAGTCTAATTTAATATTATTTGTATGTTCTTTAAGTCTCGTTCCTAACTGTCTTTTTGTCTGTCCGACATATGTGGCGTCACAATCATTGCAATTTAATCTATAAATAACATTAGAGTTCGTGGGACAATCATTTCTGTCCTTTTGAACCCTTATAAAGTCATTCAATTTTTTAATGCAACGATATCCTACCACTACGTCAGGTCTTTTTATTGCTGAAGCGACTTTATCAGAAATTGATTCTATATATAGTATGACAAAATATTTAATGTTCGTATTTGTGTTATTAGTATCTATTATATTGTTGTTGTTAGACTTGTTAAATTTCTTCGTTGAAAGATTTTTCAATCTGCGTTTTATTTCTATAAAAACTAAGTCAAGAGGATAACCATTGGATAGCAAAACATTAATAGCTTTCTCTATATTTCTTTTGTGAAATTGAGAATGTGATAGCAATATAGCTCTATCTACCAAGCTATAAATTGTTCCTATTTTATGACAAATCGGATGATTTGAAAAAAATGAGAGTAATCTATCTGAGAATGTCTTTTTGTGATACCAATCTAAATTAATTTTGTTATCTATTACTTTGATCATTATGTCTAAAAAGCTTATACACCGATTATCCTCTTTTTCTAATGTAAATTTTAGTCTATCGTTATAATTGTTGAATTCATTCAAAACATATGTAATAATGTCAACGGAAGTGCATAAAATAATGTCATCTACATAA